AGGCTGAGGCGGAAGGATCGCTGGAGCCCAGCGGGTCGAGGCTGCGGTGGCCGGGAGTGGGCGCTGCACTCCAGTCTGGGCGACGGAGTGAGACTCCGACTCAAAAAAAGAAAAAAGAAAAATTCAACCAATCGTGAGTTAGAACACCTGCTCATAAGGCTCGACTTCTGCCCTGCTGTTCGCCACCAGACAAACTCAAAAGGGATCAAAGGTGGAGATAAAATAAAACCACGAAAGGACCAGGATGAAACACCCAATTTTATAAGTGACAATTCTGAAAGGGAGAAGACCTTGCTAAGCAAAGCAAAGCTTAGAAATTGTGAAGGAAAAGATGGGTCTGTTTGACCGCTGATATACCACAATTAGCCAGCAGTCCCCCGAATGGCAAAAAATTACTTTATACAGCTCAAAAGACAGAGGCCAAGGGAGAGGGGAAGGATTTGCCACACATGTAACAAGGGATACATGTTTTACATTGAATGTATACTTAACAGTCAGTAAGAAAAATACCGAGACCCTAAGAAACATAACTGCACAAAACCCAGTCCTACAAGAAGAAATGTAGGAATAGTGTGTGTTGATTTAAAAAGAGACCCCATCCCCCGTACTAGCAAATGCAAATAACAACCACAAGATGCTGCTTCTCTCCCATGCCAGCAACTGACATCCAGGAGCGTCATCCACAAGGACACTGTTAATTAACAGAGCTGTGAGACCGTGGGGGGCAGGCATGCTGTGGGGTTTTGTTGGGATTGGAAACCGGAGGTGCCTTTTGTGGCATGTGCCTCTGTCGAGGGTGAAAATCCATTGACTCTGTGGCCCTCAACCCTGCATCGAGAAACGTGTTCAGCATACAGACCGGATGCAAGGTGTGTTTCAGCAACATTTTTACCAAAAGCATGGTAACGACCCAGCTGCTCCATCCTTAGGAGCTGGGGAAAGATCAGAGCACATCCTTGTGATGAAACACGGTGCAGCAGTTGAAAGAATGTTGAAAGCATTTCTCAGCCATGGGCGTGTGCTGGTGGGACAATCTCAGAGGTACAGAGAGAGGTCAAGGCGAAAACCCTCTGTACAGAGTTGCGTGTGTGTGAGGCAGTTGTTCATGCACAGGAAGTATCAGGAGACACAGGAGAAACTCTCTGAGGCATTTACCTCAGCCTGCGAGAGAAGGCAGACTTACCTTGTTATCAAATACCTTTTGCACCCTGTAACTTTTTTCAGCCATGTACATGACCTGCTTTTAAAATAATGAGTGAAGACCACTTGGCTGGTGGCAGTTCACCGACAGGGTCAGGCATTTAGGAGCAGCGAAGGGCATGTGTGTGTTTAAGAAAATGCTATTTTGTCTGTCGAGTTGGCAGAAAACAAAAGAAAAGGAAAAGAAAACTGGCTTCTCGCCGCTGGAGAGGATAAACATGAAATGTGTCTCCCTCCTTGCTGGCGGAGTGTCCCCTTGGGAAAGTAATTTGGCAATATGCAATATAAGAACACCCATATCCTTCGGCCCCATAATTCGGATTTAGAAATCTATCCTGGAGAAATAGTATTTTACTTAAAACACCCAGGCGTGTCTAGTGTAGTCAGAGCCGCCACACCGGATGACCCCAGGGGGGCACTTTGACATTCACGATGTCCCAGGGCGACCTAAACGCCCCGTAGTGAGTGTTGCTCATGCACGTGGCACAGCGTGTGACGGAATAGTACGCAGCCCTAAACGGGGTGCTTTCCGGAAACGCTCACGATGTGCAGTCAGGCGACGGGTGACAGGGTTCCCTCGGAGAAGGACCCGGGGTGGCGAGGCGGGAGCCACAAATCACGCTGTGCGTCTGGTGCAGGCGGTGGAGTACAACATCTTCGAGGGCATGGAGTGCCATGGCTCGCCCCTGGTGGTCATCAGCCAGGGCAAGATCGTCTTCGAGGACGGAAGCATCAACGTCAACAAGGGCGTGGGCCGCTTCATCCCACGGAAGCCTTTCCCAGAGTACCTCTATCAGCGCGTCAAAATCAGGAACAAGGTGAGGGGTCTGCCCGGAGGCCCCGGTGGGTGGGGCGGAGCTAGATGCGCGACCCTGGGACCCTCCCGTTCCTCGATGCTGCCCCGGGCCCGTCTCAGGATGGCTGAGAACGTCAAGGGGGGCCATGCGGGGTCCGGGGCTCGGCAAACCGCGAAGGAGTGTGCCCCCGCAGGGCGGGAGGGTCATGGGAGGGCGGCTCTGGGCGCCCTCCTGCGTGGTCCTGGGGAATCCGCCCCACGGGCGGAGGCGAGAGTCTCATTGTGCGGATCAGAGCCCTGATGCTCAGAGCTGTGCTCGGCTTGACCCCGCAGCCAGGGCCCCTCGGGCCTTTTGAGGGGAGTACGTGGCCCCTGGCGTCCTGGCGGGCCGGCGCCTTCAGGCCTCCCCGTCCCTCGTCCCTTCCCCCGGCCTCGTCTGCATCTGTCCTTCCAGTTCTCCTTGGAGCTCTTAGCCCTGCCCTGGGAGGCCTGTCCTGTCTCTGGCGCAGCCCAGAGGAGGGAGCGTCCTCCCGGCTGAGGCAGACACCGCTCTGCCGCCGTTGTCCCTGGCCACGGCCTCCCATCACGATGGCGGCTGCTTCCCTGTCCGACAGCCTGGGCCTGGGTCCAGTGTTGTCGCCTGCTGAGGGGAGGAGGGAGCCTGGGCCATGGGGGACCCTGTCTGTGCAGGTCCCAGCACACACGCTGCTCTCTGACGCCTGCAGCAGTTGCCCCCGGCCACCCTGAGGTCCCCTGAGGTCACCCTGCCCTGCAGGCTCAGCCCCTACCCGGAGCCCCGGCCGCTGTCTGCGTCCCTGCCTGCCTTCTCCTTCCCCAGGCGACCCTTGCCCCAGGGGCTGGATCCCTGCACCCGGCCCACCCTCCCGTCCTGTGGGTCCATGCTTGAGGGTGCTCCCACAGGGCCCTCCCGCTGCCCCCGGGCCTGGCCCGTTCACCGCTCCCTGTCCTGGGCCCTCCCCCTCCCAGCCTCACCTCGCCTCTCCTTCCTTTCTGGAATCCTCTCCCAGACGAACTCCCTGCAGAGCAGATGGGCCCTTGAGACCGCCGGTCTGGGGTCTGGGGCTCTTCTGCGGGGGACGGGGGTGCAGAGGTGTCAGGGAAAGTGACTTCCTTCCGAAAGGGGACTTCTGGTCCTCCTGTGTGGAGCACTGTGTCTGTATGTGTATGTGTGGGTGTGTGTGTATACAGGTGTGTGCACCTGTGTGTCTGTGCTGTGTGTATACATGTGGATGTGTATATATGTGTGTGTGGGGATGTGTATACAGGTGTGTGCACCTGTGTGTCTATGCTGTGTGTATACATGTGGATGTGTATATATGTGTGTGTGTAGGTGTCTATAAAACACGTGAATGTGTGTGTGTGCTTGTGAATGGGAATATCTCTGTGTTTAAGTGTGTGCATTTGTGTGTGTGCATGCATGTTTGTGTTGTGTGCATGTGTGTGCCTGCATGTGCTGTTGTGTGATACATGTATGCATGTGCATGGGTGTGACTGCATGGGTGTGATTTGTATCCGTGTACATGCTCATGTGTACGAATGCAAGAGTACGCGTGTGGATGTATGTCCACATGTGTGCACGTGGGTGGTATGTATGTGTGGTGTGTGACGTGTATGTGTGCGTGTGTGATGGCTGTGTGGGCGTGTGGCACGTGCGCATGCACACCCAAGGCCATCTGGCTTCTCTTGTGCCTGCAGGGCAGTGCCCGTCTGAGCAGGAAGGCTCGTGTGCCCACCGGTCACCGTCTCTCCCTCTGCGCAGGTTTCTGGATTGCAAGGGGTTGCCAGGGGCATGTACGACGGCCCCGTGTACGAGGTGCCAGCTACCCCCAAATACGCGACTCCCGCTCCCTCAGCCAAATCTTCTCCTTCCAAACACCAGCCTCCGCCCATCCGGAACCTCCACCAGTCCAACTTCAGCCTGTCAGGTAGGCCGGGCTCCCCACGCCCGCCGGGTTCAGGCCC